GAGGTAGCAGCAGGGGTTGGGAGCTTCACTCTGAAGGAGGGGCCCTCCACCCCTCAGGACCCATCCTGGGGCTTGGCCAGCAAAGGGGCCTCACCGTAACCCCCACCCTCAGGGTGCTCTTGCATAAGAAGTGGGACGGAGCTGGAACCCCCCGAGTCCCAAGCCAGGGTATGTGTGCTGAGTCATGGGGGCTCTGCAGGGCACCCCACTTCCTCTCTGCCTAGCATTCTCTACATCCAGCACATGGCCAGGCCCAGGAGGGGCTCCCAGTGAAGCTCTTTGGCCAGGATGCCCTGCTCCCGTGCAGCTTGGCAAGGCCTCCCGAGGAGGGACCCGGAGGGAGGCCTCCAGGGATGGATTTAACAAGCCAAAGGCAATGAGAAGGTTGGCTGAGGTCAGAGAAAGAAACAGCACATGCAAGACATGGATGCTGAAAGGGTCTGGAGCAGACAGTGCCTGGTGGGCTGGCAAGATGTGGGGCCAGTTCAGGGAGTGGGACTGAACTGGGCGTGTGACCCTAGTGGCCCCTCGACCTGCCTGGGCTTCAGTTTCTCTGTTTGTAAAGTGGAACTAAGGGCTGAGATGAGGATTCAGTGATGTAGTTGAGGATAGTTGCATGCTCAGCTGGACTGTTAGCTGCCTTGCTAGGGAGCCACACCAGGAGTGTGAGCACGGGAATGCCACGATCAGTGTGTGCTGCAGAGGGAAGGCACCATTTGGGTGCAAGTCTTGCTGAATGGAAACACGGACAGTGGCCCTGGCCCTGGGGTCCTGGAGGCGTTCGGGAACGCCAATGCCTTGTGAGCACCCAGATCTCTGCTGTGCACCCAGTCCCAGGACCGTGCGACCGGCCGGGCTGTGGGACAGTAATTGGATTTGCCCAGCAGCTGTCGGAGCTAAGCAGGCCCACTTGACGCAGCCGCGGTTGGCCAGTAATTGGTGAAATTAGCAGGTCGGCAGGGGCAGAGGTCAGGTGGTTAATGCTGTAGTGGGCACTTTGATGAAGTTAGTCCCGTCGCAGGACTGGGAGCTGGTGTTTGACCTTCTGTGAGTCATGGGCTCTCCTGCTCCCTGGGTAATGTGGTTAGGGGACCTCCAGCTGCTGGTTGGTCCCAGGGGCTCCGGGAGGCAGAGATGGAGCTAGCTGGGGGTGTGGCAGACGGTCAGATCACCTACCTCCCCTTGGCGGGGGCACTTGCAACACCCAGGGGGCTTTGCAACCCCTAGAGATCTTGGGGTGGTACCCCTCAGCTTCCTAAAGGAAGCTTCCTTTGGAGAAAGGCACCCAGGCCCACCTCTGGGCCTCCGGCCCTCTCCTGTACCCCTGCTGCCATCCATGGGGGTGCCTTGTCCTGGCTCTGCATCTGGATGGGGATGAATTCCTCCCGACATCAGTCTTTCACCAGGCCCCATCCTCCCCTCTAAGTTCAAGACCTCCCCGCCTCTTCTCTCATCCTGAGCTCCAGAGTCTGTCCTCTGAGCATGCCTCTTGGTTCTTGCTGTTCCCTGGATCAGTGTTCTCCCACCTTCTCCCATTTCACATCATGTATTGGACACCTGCTACATGCCAGGCACTGAGAGAGGAGCTGAGATGCTTAGGTGAGCAAAATCTGATCAGGTCCTAGCCCAACTGGCACTCACAGCACCTTTCCTGGCCATGCCCACACTCCCCTCAGCGTGGGAGCCAGAGATGCTGTCACCTCCTTTTCTAGCTCCACTCCAGTCCCCAAAGAACAGGAAATTACCAGCATGCTGATCCTTCACATACACACATGCACACATACCCCTTTGGCTGTTGATGCTATTATACTGTTATTACTATTTATTATTTTAAATATAAATCCTTTGGAGTCAATACCTTGAATGAAATTCTGGCTCAGCCACCTGCCAGCTGGGTGACTGTCTCCTCTCTGTGCCTCGGTTTCCTCTTGTGTAACAAGGGTCAGGACCCCAGTCCAGGAGGATTGTGGGCATTACATGGAACTACATCATCCATCTCACTGCCCTCTTGGCTGTTCCTCAAATGGGGTAGGCCTGCTCCTGCCCCAGGGTCTTTGCATTTGCTCTTCCCTCTGCCCAGAATGCTTTTCTTCGGATAGCTACCTACTCTGTGATCCCACCTTCATTCCAGCTGCTGACAGAAGTCACCTCATCAGATAGGCCTTTCTTGGGGCACTGACTTAAAACCCCCCCTGCCCGGGCCCTTGACCCCACCCTTCTCCATCCGCTTGCAGGCCTGATTTCCTCACTAGCATTCATTACTGGCAGTAATAACTAGCAATTACTAGTAGTAACCAAGGACAATATTCTATACACCTGCTGGTTACCTGTCTCCCCCAACAAAATGTCAGCTCCCCAAGGGAAGGGATCTCTCCTGCCCACGGCTGTACCCCAGGACCTAGCACTATGCCTGGCACATAATAATTGTGCAATACAGACTTCCTGAATCACACTGAATTAAAAGTGCCTGACACATCTATAAGTTTCAGATTGTTTCAAAGTAAAAATACACTTAAAAAATATTTTTAGAAGACTGGCACTCAGGAGGCCCACGGGTAGTGAGAACACCTCCCCCTTCTTCAGCGCCGGCATGCCCCCCATGATGGGAAGCTCACTCCCCCAAGGGTCATCTGCTTGCTCTGACTTGGAGAAGGCTCTTGTTTCATAAGGCTGGGAGCTGCTCCCCATGACATCTGTCCATCTCCAGCGTCCCAGGCCTGATCTATGGGCTTCTGATTCACCTGTTCTCCTGGCCTAAGGTAGCCCTACAGAGACTTGGGAACAGCAACTGGAGTCCAAGAGGCTTCCTTTCTCCAAACTGACTCTCCCCAGCTCCTCCCAGGATAGAGTCTCCAACCTCCTCCCCACCCTAGCCACCTCCTCTGGACCAACCCCAGACTGCCTCTGCCCCTCTCCCAGGACAGGGCCTGGAGCCGAGCACAAAGTGAGATTAGGAAGTCTAAAGGGAAGAGCTATCCCCTCCCTGAGAGCACATGAGACTTTCCAGGCACTTTCTCATTAACACCTTCTGGTCCCGCAAAGCTTGTGGCCCACCAAGACCTCCAGCTCCATGCTTACATACTCCTGGCTCAGCTGGGTCTCCCCAGCTGGACTTCCTTCTTCTTTTTAAATCATTATATTCACTCCAGTTTCAAGGGCTGGTCATCTTATTTCTAACTGGGGCAACAGCTCTGGATCTGCTCCCCTCCTAGCTGAGGGTGTCTGAGAATGGGAGGCCTGTGCCTTCTGTGGATCCTTTAACCACAGGGTGCAGATACTGAGGACACAATGCTGATGACAGAGCTCTGTAGTGCCTTCACCCAGGTTCACAGACAAACGTACACACGCACCCATATGAACACCCTCACACAATAAATATTTATTGAGAATCTACTACATCCAAATCCTGGGTTGGGTTCTGAGGATCAGCAATGAGTTAGCTCCTGTTCGTGGGGAGTTTCCAGTCGGCTGGGGTGACAGGCTGTAATTAAACTATCTTATATTTCTACATGCTACACATATATGGACAGAAATGTGTGCACAGTGGCCACATGTGACCCTCAGGCCACAGTTTCCCCCATGTGGCATTCCTTCCAGGGTCATTCGGGAAATCATGCCGCAGGTCCCAATCCTCAGAACACCTGCCAGGGGTCCTCATGTGTGTCCACGGACTTGTCTGCCTACAGCTGCCTCGTGCACCTGTGAACTCCCTCTCACCTCTCCACTCGCCCCCTGCCCACAGCCCACAGCCCACAAAACTGCTCAAAGGATACCCACCACCACCTCAGCTGGTGGTGCCTGTCACTAGGGCTCTGCCAAGAGCCGGCCCAGACTGAGAGCCACCCACCCCCAGGACCCAGCATGGCACTAAGAGGCAGGCAGAAGCCTCCACCCCAAACTGTGACTCTGGGTCCCAACCAAGCCCAGCTCCCAGCTCCCATCTCCTGCTCCCACACCCATTTCTTCCTAGACAGTCGGCCTTGCTTTGGCCTGTGTGGGATCAGCACACATCCCTCGACACTCACACACACGCACAACACACTGCACCCAGCAACAATCATTCTTCCAAGAAATGTATGCCCTGGCCCTCGGTTTCAGGCATTGCTCTAGACTCGGGGGACAGTGAGGGGTGAGGCAGGTACAGTCCTGCTCCCCAGGACCTGCAGTGTGGCTGGGGAAGCACACGTCTTTCAGTTAGTCACATTGATATAACACACGAGGGCTGGGGAGAGCAGGTGAGGGGGCTTTGAGAAAGCAGAGTGGGGTGGGTGGAGAGCTAGTTCCAAAGGGAGGTGTTGGGTAAGTGACGTCTGAGCAAAGGCCGTAAGGTGAGTGGGCGGTCACCAGGAAGAACAGTGTGTGCAAAGGCCCTGAGGCTGCAAGGCAGGTGGTGCCGTGGGGGTGAGAGGGGAGCCCAGTAGGGCTGCAGCTCAGAGAGTGAGGGAAAGGGGAAGGTGAGGCCAGGAAGGAGGGCAGGGCCACACCACTGGGGCCCCAGGAAGTTGAGGCCTGAGGTCTTCATGTGAGAACAGGGGGAGCCACCGAAGGTTTAAATAAAGCAAGGCAGGTGGTGAGCACAGTTAGGTGAAGTGGCCACGTGAAGAATCACTGTGGGGGCTGAGCTGGAGAGTGGATGGTGGGCATGGAGGTGTGGAGCTGTACTGACACGGGTACACGGTCATGGTATTTATCAACCCAGATGACGCAGAAGAGGGAACAAACCACCTGCGGAACCCCTTCTGTGCACACCCCCCATCCCCTCGCCTAACAGTGGATTTGGAGACAAGATCTTCAGGCCTGAATGCCCATGCTGGCTGACAGGCCGTCCCATGCCACAGCCACGTCCCCTAAGCAGGGTCCCTTCAGAGGCCCACCCCTGCCACTCCACAAAGCTGCATAGGCTGTCTCCATGAACTTGCTGGCACATTTATTTCAGCCATCAGCTGCATTAGCTGAAGCGGGTGGGGGCCTGGGCAGCCCACCGGGACCCAGGCCAGGGCTTACTTGCCCTCCACCCATCTGAGCTGCTCCTTGCCATTGATGGTCACCGACCTGAGCTGCCCGTCCTCCTCCACCTCCACACGCTCCTGCCCATTCTCCACCATGCGCTTGGTGGTGACCTTGTGTCCGTTGACCATTGCAGTGGACGACATCACCAACTTGAAGGCTGAGCTGCCAGAACCAGAGGCCCCAAAGGAGGTGGACGAGAAGGTGGTGTGGCCAGTGCCCCTGCCTCTGTGGCCCAGGGTATTGAAGGATGAGAAGGCCTCTGTGAAGGCCGGGAACTCACCAAAGTTGGCCGAGAAGGCCCCCCGCAGGCCATGACCCCGGCCAGTGCAGCCACTGTTGAACGGGGTGTCCCAGAAATCAAAGGAGATGGGGTCCAGGCCACCGAAAAACTCGTGGAAGATGTCCTCAGGGTTACGGAAGGTATAGCCGCTGTTGAAGGGGCTGCTGTAGGGGGTGCTGGCCCCGCCCCCAGCCCGCCAGCCGTCACCTTTGCAGTCATACAGAGAGCGCTTCTTGGCATCAGACAGGACCTCGTAGGCCTCGGATACCTGCTTGAACTTCTTCTCGGCCTCCTCCCTGTTGCTGGGGTTCTTGTCGGGGTGCCAGCGCAAGGCCAGCTTGCGGTAGGCCTTCTTGATGTCCTCCAGGGAGGCGCTGGACCGGACGCCCAGCACTTGGTAATAGTTAGCCATGCCAAGGGGAGAAGCGGGCAGAGGCTGGTTAGATAGCAAAGCGGTCCCTGGGGCCCAGGTGGCAGGGGTTGGCACAGAGAAGGCTGTGGCTGGTGCGGGTCCCCCTGCCAGAATCTGCCGGGTGCAGCTCTGCCCAGTGGACACCTCCTCTGAGGGGGCAAGAGCTGAGCGTGGAGGCCACCCTTTATGACATCAGCTCCTGGGTGGGGCAAGACGGGCACCTGGGCCCCCTGCCAGCAAAGCCACCATCTCGGTGGGCCCAGAATGCAGGGCTTGGTCACACAGGGCCTGTTGGCTGAGCCTGGGGGCCACGGAGCAGAGGAAGGCTCAGCCATGGGGTCCAGGCCTCGGTGGGCAGCAAAGGTCAGCGACAGTGGTCAGGGGAGGAGTGGGAGGGCTTCCTGGAATATGTCCACTTAGCCAACAGCTGTCTTGCTGATATGGAGTGAGGGGGCCCAAGGTGGGGAATCAGGCAGCGAGGGAGGAGGGGACAGGAATTTGATCTTGTGTTCCATGATCCCATCAGACCCTCAGAGGTGAGCCTCCAAAAGGCAGGGATGTCTGTCGGTGTCTATGAATGAGGCTCAGAGACAGGCAGGAACATACTCAAGGTCACACAGCAAGTCAGTGAGAGAGAGGGTGCCAGCCCTACACAATTCTCCATGGCCGTGGTGGTATTGACTATGACGGCTGTGGGGAGGGTGGCTGTGGTGATATGGGGGTGGCGATGAACAGGGCAGCATTGAAACAGTAGGGTGACTGGGGTCATTCTGTGCAGAGGCAACCAGGCTGGTGGGACAGGAACTGTGTCGGTGATGGTTGTTATGGCGATGGAGGCAGTGAGGTCGTGGACCTTGCATGGCGTAAAGCTGTGCTACGGTAACAACCCATCTCAGCAGCTCACGATAGACATTTGGTTCTTGCCCACTACCTACCGGCGCCCATGGGTCAGGTGCTGGGGCTCCAGCTCATGTCTTCTCTTTGTGGATCTCAGGCTGAGGGAGTGGCTCTGATCTGGAACATACCATCCTCATGGCACACAGGGTGCAAGTAAAGGCTGCTGGAAACATGGGATGCCTGTTCAAATTTCTATTGGATGTGCTGTATGTCATGCTAGCCCATGTCACATGGCCAAGGCCAGTGTCAGTAGAGTGGGGCCTGGGACTCCTTGGGGAAGGTTTTGCCAGTCTCCATCAAGAGCTGGAGGGGCCCAGGACTCCATTAGGGAAGAGGGAGTGGGCATTACTGCAGTGTGCTGCAGGAGGCGGTAGCGGCCCTGGTGATGGCCCTGGAAGAAACGGTGATGGTTACTGCTGGTGGGGGCCAGGTGGTGCTGGTCAGGTAGCTAGGACTGTGGCAGTGATGGCGACTGGGGGTTGCTGGAAGTGGTGAGAATGATATGCTGAGGGAAATGACAGTGTGTTACAGCAATAGTGCCGACGGTGATGGTGACGGTTTTGGAGGCGTGTTCTGGATTTTCTGTTGCTGACTCAGCATTACCACCCCTCTCTTCTGTGCACCCCAGATTTTCCAGAATCCCTTAGCCCTATGGTTCCAGGTTAGATACTGTCAGCTTTGCACACTGAAGGAGAAAGAGGCAGTGGCAGGCAGGTGACAGTTGGGAGGTTTGCAGCTCTTCTAAGCAATCCTCTGAGAATCCTCTGCCTTCGATCTGCAGGCTGAGATATTGGGGCACTTCCTGGAATACCATGAGATTCCATCAGCTTCCAGGCAAGCTCTTGAGACCCATTCACTTTGGAGCCTTGATTGAGACCATCAGGGATGACTTACTTCCTGGATCTTTACTCGCCCAGGCCGTCTGGTGATTGTGGGAACTTGTATTGAAGGTCTTCACACCTCACTGCACAGTGACTGTGTGTGTGTGTGTGGCCCTGGTGACAGCGGCTCGGGTGAAGGTGGTGGTGATGGGGGAGGTGGGCACAGCGGCCACGGGGATGGTGTGAAGCTGATGTTGGAGGAGGTGGGGGTGGTGGGTGTGGAGGTAGAGGTAGCAGGGAAATGGAGTGGTGGTGGTAGTGACAGAGGAGATGAGCACGGTAGTAATGAGAGAGGCGGAAGCGATGCTAGCGGGGCTGATGGTAACGATGGGGGTACTGATGGTCATGGTAGCATGAATACTGGTTGAGATGGTGACAGTGATGACAGTGAGAGGAATGAGGCAAGTCATGGAGATGCTGATGGTGATGGAGGTGATGGCAATGATACAAGTGGTGATGCTGGTGGTGGCAATGACCATTATGGTGGTCATAGTAATGGTAATTCTGGTTCAAGAGATGGAGGTGGTGTCAGAGGTGGGATATGGTGGTAGTGATGGGAGACAGTGTTATGACAGGGGTGCAATGAGACGGTGCCACTGGTTGAGGTGGAGATGGTCATGCTGGCGGCGATGGTGACAGTGGTGGTGGTGGTGGTCATGGAGGTAGGAATGGTGGCATGTTTGTGGTGGTGGCAGTGGGGGACGTGATATTGGTGAGGAGGTCGGTGAGGCTACAAGTGAAGTCTGAGGGCCCCATAACAGTGTAATCAGGACAGTGTGTGGGTGTTTACAACAGTGTAAGAGACAAGGGATCCAGGATGATGAGATGCCCAAAAATCCTAGAAAGGCTTCCCCACACAGGCCCCCTCCGCTTCCCTGCCCGAGACTCAGGCTGCCCATCATGCCCTCCTAGGCACATTGGCCCTGGAGCTGCTCGGCAAGCTCCCTGCCCTGCTCAGCCCCAGGTGCTGTGCTCAGCCTGCGTCGCCCTGGAGTGGTCTGCAGGAGGCAGCCGGGACGGAGCCGAGGCTGGGACCCCATCACGTCCCCTAAGTTGAGGGCCGTCCCGGAGCACAGAGAGCAGACCACTCGGTGGGCTCAGGGCAGGAGCTTGCCACATGCAGGCAGGTCCCGGCTCCTCCCTGGCAAAAGTGAAGTGCAGAGCAGATTTCCCCTCTGCAGAGTTCAAACTAGTGCCCTCCAAGGTCCTAAAACCAAAAGTCAGCAGAGACCAGTGGGACCAGCAGGGCGTCTGGGGACCTCCACAGGGCCTGCATGAGGAACAGGGGTAAGCAGGCATGACAGCAGCTCAGGCCTTGCACTCTGGGCTCACAGGCAGTCGCTTTCCCTCCCTGAGCCTCTCTGTCCTCCTTTGCTGGTGGGAAGGCGCAGCTCCTCCCTTTTGGGGCTCCCTCATCTCTGGGGAGCCTGCCTGGCCTCCCTGGCCTCCAGCCTCTGATGTTCTGTGTCCCTCTGAACTGTGGCCTGGGAAGAAGCAGCAGACTTTGGGTGACCAGCTGACGTCATGGAGAGCCTGACCCACTGCACAGGGAGGCCCAGGCACAGAGAGGGCAGGGCACACCCGAGGTCACACAGCATCCCAGGACCCCTCCCCAGGGTGAGCTGATGGAGGCTGATTAGACAGCCAATTGGTATTCTGAGCAGCCAGAGGCCCCTCTCTGTCTCTGTAATTAATGGAGTGGCTTTTTAAAAAGCTTCGAATCACCCCTGATCCTATCTGCTTATCACTAGTGCTCCTAATTAGATGATCCTGGCAGTCACTCGGCTAATTCCCCCCAACCCCCGTGCAGCCCTGCCCGGCCTGGGGCGGCCCGCCCCACCCCCACAGTCCACCCTGGCCCAGCAGATGGGCAGTTCGGTCCCTCTCTCCCCTTAGGGCCCCTGGTTCTCTAACTGCATTACCTTCAGGATGGATGGTTGACTGCAATGGATGGGTCACTGGGTAGACACAGTGACAGGTGAGTAAAGGGACTGAATGATGGACAGCTACAAGGCAGGATGGATGGATAGAGAGACTGCAAGGTTAGGAGCTCGGCTTATCAAGTCAGACAGTTTTGCCATTTACTAGCTGTGTGTTCTTGGGAAAGTCACTTAACCTCTCTGTTCTGTCATCTTATCTGTAAAATGAGGGTGATAATAGAAATTTCTTCATGGGGTTGCTGTGAGAACATCTTAGATTAGAAGAAAATCTGTATATATGTGTTTGCAAGCTTAACAGATGGATAGACAGGTGGTGGAAGGACAGACCAACAGTGTGTAAAGGAGTGGTAGAAGGACAGGTCCATGGAAGGCATAGGAGAGATGGACATACAAAGTGGAGGGCTGATGGGGGCTGGTCGGGTGGTGGGTCACTAAGCAGCTGGAAGGCTCAGTGAAGGCTCAGTGCCAGACAGGGAGGCGTGAAAAGTGTGGGCAGCCCCTCTCCGTCTCCAGAGGAGGCAGGGCCGTCTCAGCTCAGGCCACAGCAGAGACACAGCTTCCCGCACCAGGACCTCCAGGACACGCCCCGCTCACCCCTCCCAGCCATGGTGTGGGGGCTCGCTGGGTCCCCAGTCTGCAGGAATACCCATCCTGGTGGCGGCCACACGGTCTCGGGAGGCTCAGTTTTGGCCTTGAGTGGGAGTTTATTGCCTAAGCGAAGGCGTCATTTGTGGACCCCCAGTTTCCAAAGTGTGCCCGCTTGTTAGGATGGCCACTGTCCTTGTCTCACCCACAGTGTCCTAGTCCCCAGCCTACTCCTGCCGGGACCTACCCTGGGCAGGGCCCTGATCCCAGCTACAACAACTAGTCCTGAGCCTCCCAGAGGATTCTGCACCCAGAGCCTCTCACCCAACCACAGACCTACAGCCCCTGGGCTGTGGGACTTCCCAGTTCTTTCTGGAAAGAGTATAGATCAAAAAAGCCTGGATTATCTTCCAGAGATCAGGCTTGCTTGCTTATCACACATTCATAACCAGCAGACGTCTACCCATTCACCAACCCAACCACCCATCCATCCCCCCAACCGTCCCCACTTCCCTCCATCACCCCATCCACCTACCCACCCATCTTCCCATCCATCCTCCAACCTCCCATCCACCCACTCATCCCCCAACCCCTCCACCCCATCCATCCCCCAATCCCACACATTTCCTGAGCCCCTATCCACATATGTGCCAAGTGCCAGGCCCTCTTCCAGGTGCTACAGGTGTAAATGCCAGTG